TTACCGGATATTGTCGGATCACGTCGGTTACGGCCCAATCGTATCATCTAACCTGATATTTTCCGGCAATATAAATCTGACCGGTTCTCGGAGAATCCGGCAACCAGATTTCAGAAGAAAACAAGGAAAAGCATCGGAATTCGCCAGAAATTAACCGACGGAATCCGATCACCATGTGACATCGGAATTATAACCCGCTCGACAAGAACCGACGGATCGATAATGACCTGGGAAGGAGTTATGAGCAAAATAAGACAAAAGTTCAAAGTTGTGTGCCATATCACCCGTTCTTACTCTAATCAAAAATTTTATTTTCCTGTATCTCACACTTGACTTGAGCCCTATTGTTGAGGGCATTCATTTTGAGAAAGTAATTCAATTCGATAATAAACAAGAAAAATGTGTAACTTAATTTATGAGTACGAACTGCCAAGCCGAGAACTCTCGAAAAGCTTGTTCGGTATGTGGCGCTCCCTACAAAGAGAATTTTTTACTATACGTATTTGATGATTGATCGGAATGAGGACACATACCAAATTTCAATGGTACATATAATAGAAATTTTCTTTTACTAGATTTTATTAGTTGTCTTTTTTAAAGTTTTTTCATTTAATTTTAATGGCTGAAAGAGGAATAACAGATGATGTTAAAACTGATGAAAATGTTACTTTCTCAGATTTGGCTATATCGGAACTAACGCTTAATTCACTTAAAACAGCTGGTTTTATTAAACCATCTCCTATACAATTACAAGCATTGCCATTAACCTTACTTGGACTTGATCTTCTTATTCAAGCTAAATCTGGCACTGGTAAAACACTTGTTTTTAGTATAACAGCTCTTGAATTCGTACAAGCAATTGATAGTGATGATAATGAAAATTCAACTGTGATAACAACAAAAGTAATTATGCTCGCACCAACACGTGAAATAGCACAACAAATTGTACAAGTAATTAAAACAATTAAACAGCCCGAATGTAATGTACATACGTTTATTGGTGGTACATCAGTAAAAGATGATCAAACTCATTTAAAAAAATGTAATATTGTAGTTGGAACACCGGGACGAGTTGAAGAATTACTTCGATTGAAATATCTTCGACCTGATACAATTCGATTACTTGTTTTAGACGAAGCAGATGTTCTTTTATGTAAAGAATTTCAAGTAATTATTTCATTGATATTTCGTTTTTAAATCATTACTTTCCCATCATCAATAAAAATCTTTCCTTACTTTTATTCATGAAATTAAAACAGAGTCATTTTTTCTTAAGGAACAAATCAATTCAATATTTTCATATATGCCATCGAATAAACAAGTATTATTAGCTTCAGCAACATATCCTGAACATTTGATTCGTTTTTCCGAACGTTATATGCGTGATGTGACATGTATACGTTTAGTTGGTTCGGAATCGCCCAGTTTAATTGGTATTCAACAATTTTGCATGTTAATTCCTCATCATCCAATAGATTCACATTTATTCGAACAAAAAGTTCTTTTACTATTGCGTATTTTGCCTGAATTAAAATTTCGCCAATGTTTAATTTTTTCTAATCTTCGTATGCGTTCATCCGCTGTTTGTGAACGTATAAAATCTTTAGGTTATGAAACAACGTATACATCAAGTTCACTGGCACAAAATCGTCGAACAAAAGCAATGCGTGATATGTATAAACATAAATGTCAAATATTAGTTACGACTGATTTAACATCTCGCGGTATTGATTTAGATTTTGTTGACTTTGTTATTTCAATGGATTTACCCAATGATAGCGAAACATATTTACATCGTATTGGACGCGCAGGTCGTTTCGGTGCTTATGGTTGTTCATTAACTATAGTTGCACGAGGTGATGAACAGAAACAATTAGAAAAAATTCAAGATGAATACAAATTAAATTTAATCGAAACAGATGAAAGTCAACGATTTCAAGTGTTAATAAATGCACTTGAACAAGTAACTATGAATATTAAAGATTCACAATAAACTCTTTATTTCTTTGTTTTGCTTGTGAAAAACAAAATAACCCGGTGATACAAAAAAAAAACACATGTACTGAAAATGACCTTACTATATTCTAGATGAAAATTTTTCTCTTGCGTTCTTTGAATTACATAGCATGGTCTTATGCATATATAGGTTTACTTTATGCACTTTATTTTATCTACTTTATTGTTGTACCGAATTATCGTGAACAAAATCAATTATCGAATACTGTATATTTAATTTTTAATATTGTATTTCTATATTTTTTCTCGCAAGGTTATTTAAATATGATTCTTACAACATTTGGTTCTATGTCGAATTCTAATGAAAAGAAAACCGATCGATACTGCGACACATGTTTAGATTACACTCGAGAACGATCGCATCATTGTTATCTATGTCGAACTTGTATACCTACGCAAGATCATCACTGTTTTTTTGTTGGTACATGTATTGGCAAACATAATCAGCTAAATTTTCTTTTAATGCTTTTTCATCTCATTTGTGCACATTTAATTGGCTATGGATTTGTTTGTAATTATTTGTGGAATGAATTGGGAGGATTTCATTTTGTAACTTTTTTAAAAATTTTCCTTTTCAATATTGGCTATGTAGTTGGTTTTGTTAAAACGAAATGGGAAGCATTTATTTGTCTTCATCATTATCTCGTTTATTTTGATATAGGATTTATTAGTTCACTATTTTATCACATGATGAAACGATCACTGAATGGACAAACGTATTATGAAGAAAAAAAAAAGATTTTAAGAAAAAAACAAAATTTTTCTCAGATATTTGGCTCGAATAAATTAATCTTGATATTTCCATTTGTTCGCCCATGATACAACATTTTCTTTTTTATTTTCAGAATAAAAAGCAACATGGCGACTAATGGTCATAATGGTTTAGTAAAACAAAATTCAAAATCAACTGCTATTGTTGAAGTTAATTCATTGAGAGAAGATAATCAACATGTCAATCCAGCTGATCATTATGGTAACCATAATAATCATGATTAGAAAATCTATTTATATCTACCATTGTTGTCCTTTAGGTGTAACATCGGACTATTCAATAAATGTCGATAGTAATAATACAATTTATTCGAATGAATACATTGAAAGTAAGTATACGTATGAAATGAATCATTGTGAAGTGGATCATCAAGCTCAACGAGTGGAAATCGTTCCACGAAAATATCAATATAATTTTCGTACACAACGACAAGTACAACGTACTGGTGTCATGCTTGTTGGTTGGGCAGGAAATAATGGTTCAACATTTACCGGTGCAACTATTGCTAATCGAGATAAAATAACATGGATGCGCAAAGGTATGACTATTTCATTTCTACTGCATTCATTTTGTTTTTTCGCTATACTACTCACTGATAGGATCTTTATCTGTCTCGCATTTAAACTCTTGATTTTTTTGTTAGAGGGTGAACAATTTCCTAATTATTATGGTTCGTTAACGCAATCGACAACAATTCGAATTGGAAGTGATAATGAAGGAAAAGAAGTTCACATACCATTCAATACAATCTTACCAATGTTACACCCGAATGATATTGTTATTGGTGGATGGGATATAAATTCAGCGAATTTATACGAAGCAATGAAACGAGCTTATGTATTTGATTATGAATTGCAAGAAAAATTAAAACCAAAAATGGCTGAACTCAAACCATTACCATCAATCTATTATCCTGATTTTATTGCTGCGAATCAAGAAGATCGTGCTGATAATTTAATACCTAAAGGAACTAAACAACAAGATTTAGAACATATTCGAAATGATATTCGAACATTTAAAAAAAATAACAATTTAGACAAAGTGATTGTTCTATGGACAGCAAATACTGAACGTTATGTTGATGGTAAAAAAAAATGAAAGAGTTATTGTCTTTTGAAAACATTCGTATTTGTTCTATATTTTAGTTCGTCAAGGTTTAAATCAAACAAGTGACGAAATTCTTCAATCTATTGCTGCTAATGACGACGAAATAAGCCCATCGAATATATTTGCTTGTGCTGCAATATTAGAAGGCTGTCCGTATATAAATGGTAGTCCACAAAATACATTAGTACCAGGCATCATTGAGCTTGCTTCAAAACATAATGTTTTCATTGGTGGTGATGATTTCAAAAGTGGACAAACAAAACTAAAATCAGTTCTTGCTGATTTTCTTGTTTCCGCTGGTTTAAAAATTGAATCGATTGTTTCCTACAATCATTTAGGAAACAATGATGGTAAAAATTTAAGTGCACCACAACAATTTCGTTCGAAAGAAATAAGTAAATCCAATGTTGTTGATGACATGGTCGGAGCTAATCATTTACTTTATAATAAGAAAAAAAATGAACATCCTGATCATGTCGTTGTGATTAAATATGTTCCATTTGTTAAAGGTAAATATTTCTTATCTATTGAAATTGGAGAAAAACTTCTATTCTATATGAAATTCATTCTTTGCTTAGATTCAAAACGAGCAATGGATGAATATATATCATCAATATTTATGAATGGTCTTAATACGATAGCTATTCATAATACATGTGAAGATTCACTTTTAGCATCACCATTAATTATTGATTTAGTTATTTTAACTGAATTATTGACGCGTATAACATACAAGACCAATGATAGTGAGCAATATCAATCATTCGAACCGGTTCTATCGATTTTATCTTACCTTCTTAAAGCTCCTGTCGTTCCACCAGGCACACCCGTTATTAATGCACTTTTTAAACAACATCGTTGTATTACTAACATTCTTTCGGCATGCGCTGGTATCGCCATGGATACAGATATGTTATTAGAACATAAAACAAATCTGCCTAAACCAATGAAACTTCAATTTTAAATTAACAAAAACAAAATACTCAATTATTCTAGCCATTGTGGTGTCGTCAATATTAATAATTTATCTAGTCGAACCTCATTTTATCTTTATTTATCCTTTTAGTTTTATCTTCATAGTTTTTCTCATGCTTATTGTCGGTCTAACAGGAAAAATTCCTGATAAATAATAATGAAAAAAAAAATTAAATCTTTTTTTGAACCTTTATAAAAAAAATGCATCGAAAATGGAATGGGAATCACAAGGATATGAGAGAGAGAGAGAGAGAGCACGAAGAAGTTCACCTGGCAAGTATGTCTGACAATTCTTTAATTTATCTGATTGAAAAGTCTCAATAAAAGATATCGATGGATGCATTGTATGGGATTGTCCACAGTTCCCAAGAATTAATCTATTGTTGATCCTATGGATTAAAACGGTGGCATTCTTACGAATAGAGATAGTTGTAAATTTATTTTTAGATTTTCTATAGAATGTCGACACATACCGGTTCACCAGCTCGTCAAACAGGTCACGCTGGCTTGTATAAAATGCCTTCGCCAACGGTACGTAGCGATGAAACCTGGAAAGATCGTTATCGTCTCCATTGTAAACAGCAATTTAAACGAGCACGTGACAAAATTGTTAATAAAATGCGTCAACTTTCAGTAAGTTTCACTTCTTCTTTTTCTGACTCATTTATTGAAATTTCTAATCTAGTTTGATGATAATCAACCGACATTATCAGCTCAAGATATTGTTGAATCAGAATGGATTAAAATGTTTGGTTCATTGCCAAGAGCAACATCGATGGACATGGACCGAAATAATCTATCAATGTCAGCTGAAGACGCTGAATTCGAAGCTAATTGGGCAATTATGAATGAAATTCGTCGTGAACTTGAGTTAGAACAATTACAATCCATACCCGACGAACAACCTGAATATGTACCATCGATTGATGAATTCAATCAAACACAATGTCCAATTTGTACAAATGATTCTCTTTTTCAATTCTCAGCTAATTATCCTATAACATGTCGGCAATGCTCATTTCAATATCAACTTAAAGCTGGTTCATTAGATGAAATTCATGCTTATCATCGACAAACAATGTCGCATTGTCATGAAACAAAACTTTATACAACATTATGGCATAGTGAAGATGGATCAGTCCCAGCATTACTTCTCGTTTGTACAAAATGTGACTTTAGTTTTTGTCTTTAAGAATGTAGCTTTTTTTTTTCGTCTTTCTCTTGTGAAATCCCAGTGGATCATATTCTATTTATTTATGAACATAGTCATCATTATTCTCAGGAAATAAAACTTGCATGATTTATTGAATTTTCAGTGCATAAAATGAACTTGAACTAGTTCACCATCGATAGAGACAAAGTGTGAGATTAATTTTCATTAAAATCAACATGGTTTTGTATTTTTTCTTTTATAGTTGTTTGTCTAACAAACAAAACGTATATAAATTGAATAACCACACATAAGCAGAAATAAAATATTAGAACACAAAGCTAAATTGAACTGAATACAGAAGAAGAAGAAGAAGAAGACACAAATATCGATCCTATTAAAGATTGAGTATTCGAGTGACACATGTATCGATACATTGCTGTTTTCTGATGAACTGATTTTCGTTACCGTTACAACCTGAATAATCAAATTGTGAACATTCATTCTTTTTATAATCATAATACCACATAGAAAGATGACCGAAACATGTTCCTCGATTGGGTGCTGGAGCACAAGCTAGAAAAAAGAATAGTTCTTTTGTTCGAATTTCCTTTTTTTCAAAGATAACATACTGATACATTCTATACGACATTCGTGTAATGTTTTGAAATTATTCTCATTTCCACCCGAACCACGATAAACAAATAGATGACATTTATCTTGATTAGGATCATAGTACCATCGACTTTGATACCGAATAATAGCATCGTGATAACCTTCAGATGATGGTTGATAACAACGAATTGGACGATCTAATAAAATAATTAGAAAATAGAGTATTTTTGTTTTGAAAATTTAAATCTCGTGTTTACCATGTTCTGTTCCATTGCTTGGTCGGCATGAAGGTTTACCTTCACTTGTTATATTACATATATCATCACCAAAACATTGATAATTCTATTGTGATAAATCGAATGATTGAAATAGAAATAGGATCTCTTTTTTGCAAAGGCATTACTTACTTTACAGGGTGGATCACATTGACATTTGTCATCCATAACTTCAAATCCATATGGACATTGTTTTGAACATTGACATGAAAAATCGCATATGGGCGTTGCAGTTGTTTGTGGTAAAGAATTTATCGTTTCATTGGAATATTCATCCTGATCCGTAATCATAGTCGAAGCATCATTTTCAGTAATTTCCGAAAGTACAGTAGTATCACCTGTTTCTTGGCCATTAACATTCTTTGCTGCATCCGATGTGCTTGCAGCAACAGTAGTTATTCCTTCCTCAGCGGATATTGTCTCGTTTTGAGTACCATGGAAGATGATCGTAGTGTCGTCTTTATTCTCATCAATTCCTGTGGTGTTATGTCCCGAAGCAATTGTTGTTGCTGCGGAATCGATTGATGCTTGATTATCATTCGTTCCTCCGGGAATTATTGTCATATAATCAGAAACAGCAACGGATGTATCTGACTCGGATTTAGCCGCGGTTGAAAGTTCGAGTTGAGAAATCATCGATGTTTCTTCTAGAGTTTGATTCGTTGAAATTGGCATCGATGACATTTCAGTTTCTTCGCCTACGATGAACACAAGAAAAAAAATCGATCTAAATTTAATATAATAATAAAAAACTTGCTTATCATTCTATTAGTATTGAATTCATTTGATACAACTTGATTGATGTCGGTAACATTTGCTGATACTATCTCTGATTCTGTTGGATTAATATCCATGATTTCATTGGATGTTGTTAATGACAATACGGTCTCAGTAGAAGCCACATTATTATTGTTTTCAATTGATTGTTCACTATCAGTTGTATTACTTAGCGAAACGTCTTCATTCATCAAAACAGTAGTTAATTCATCAATTTCATTTATTTCAGCTAAATCTTTTCTTAGCAATGGATATTTTATATCGGCCATTGTTGAAATCATCGTAGGATTCACATCTGAATTATATTCAGCATCACTTTTATTTAACTGTTCCGTAGCCTTATTTAAATCTAATGAAAATAGTACTGTTGCTTGATTATCAATTGTCGTTGTACTAATTGATTGTTGCATAATATTTTCATCAATTGGAATTTCAACTTCATCATTATCTTCTTCTTTCGTCCAACGTTTTCGTCGTTCACTTGATGGCAATAGAGGTCGTCTACGTAATAGTACAGGTTCTGATGTTGACGATTGATTTTTAACGGCGAACGACGGATATCGTCGATCCAAAGATCCCTTCGACGATGAACGAAAATAAGAACGAAGACTTGCAGTATTGGCCAACTAGTACAAAAGAACGAAGAAAAAAAGAATTCCAATTAAGATTACATTCATGAATACATACGTCTGTTATCAACAATAAAAATAATAGTGACAATAAATAAGAATAATAACTAGCCATCGTTTTATTTTACTGTTATATTAATCTTCAAATGAACTCAAAGTTATTTACTATAGAAAATGATTAGTTAAATAATCGTAAGGAATATGGTTCTATGTTCTTTTTTTTCTGCTCTATTCTGATAACGTAATACTCATCATCATCATCATAATATTCTTCTGATGGACAGTTAGTCCTGTTATGTTGCTCTTTCTTCACTGTTCGATGTAATTTGTTGATAATCGGCCTGTGGTCAAGCAGAAATCTCGTTCTCCTCCTCTTCTTCCTCTCCTCAGTTTACATTATCATTACAGTAACGATTTTTTTTCTCTCCTTGCAAGCCTCTTCCATCGATGTTGTTTTATTTTCTTTATCCCTGCAGGCATCGATGAATGGATAGCGTAAAGCCTTTCCTAGGATAATGATAGATATGTATATATTTATAAAGTAAACTGACCCATGCAAAAGCACAAACACATTTCATAATCGTTCGGTAAAAACATCAAAACGATGGCAAAGAGTAGGAGAATTGTTTGTACGCAATCTCTTTTTGTTTCAACTTCGTCCCATTAGTGTAAACATGCATCAACACTTTGTATATACAATTAACTAATTGTCCATGTCATCATTGTCGTTTTTACTTAGCAATAATTGCTATTAACGATTATTAAATTTGTTGTTTGTTTCATCATTTGAAAAGTAAAAACTAGAAATCAACTGTCAAGGTCATTCAATAATTGCACTTTATGATTATTGTTGTTGTTGTTGTTGTTGACTTTATGATATTTCACAAGAAACAAAAGATCGATTACATCATGACATTTTGCAGCCATGCAGTGATAGCACACTGTCCTTTCACTATTGTGCAATACATCACATTCTTCATGAACAACATAAGAGAATTGCTGAGCAATACTATCCGAATGTTTGTAAGATTACTATCAACTTATTCCAAGATGATTAGACTCATTAGAAATAGGCAACAAAAAAAAAGAAGAAGAGAAATGTATGTTTATCGTAATTCTCTTATGATGCAAGATGAAAAAAACTACAATGTTAATTGTATATATATATGAAACAGCAGAACACATAGATAATTTATTCAAGTGAGATCTGTTAAAGTTCAACAAAATATCAAATAACATAATTGATGTCTTTGATGAGAGAAAGTTTTTGTTTGGTTGGAAACGATGCATATTTGAACATACTTGTCAATCTTTTATGTACTGCGAAGACTGACGCGTCGATTCTTTCTTCACTGCATATTATGACCGGTGCTTTCTTCTTCTTCTTCTTCTTTTTTTGTTGTTGTTCTCGAATGAGAAATTTCGTATTGCATGAAGATAAAAAAAATGGAAATTTAAAACTAAAAGAATAAAACGCTGTAATTGTGCTCAAGAGATTTATTCAATAAAATTTTTATCATATTCATAAATAAATCCTCAGACGTTAATCAACAGCATGTGTCATAAGCTTTTCTAAAGTGATGTTAATCAATATGTTAGTTATTCTTTTGAAATTTGAAGATCAATAAAAAGAAAAAAGAGACTTGTACTATCATACCGACTATTTTGTCAAGTCTGACTTTGATGAGACAGACAATATGATTTCGTATAGAAGAGAAAAGCAAGGTAAAACAAAAAAATCGGAGTGTATATCAACAACAACAATAGAATAGCAAGATTATTGATGAAGGTAAGTGTATAGCGTATGGAAGTTCGATGAACTCATATGTCTATCGTTCATGCTTGTTCACCGTCGCTTTCATTACGAATTTTTTTTCTCTCTCTCTCTCTCTCTCTCTTCATTTTCAATCGATCGATGTATATGTGTACAGTAGTCGTTCACGTAGTGAGTCAAGAACAAAATTAACCGGTTTCAATCACTATTCATTCGATAAGGATGAATATGAAATGTTGTTGTGTTTTTTCTTTGTTTGTTTATAGATGAGGCATCTTTCATATTTATTATTGTTGTTAATTATTCAAATATTTAAACGTACGTTTATCGATTGAAACTATGTTTTTGTTATTATGTTCTTTCGTACCTTAGACGTAGAAAGTCGATGTTCTGGCGGACTATGGGCAATTCAAAATATAACGATTGGCTCATTTACAATAGCATGGAGATACAATGATACTGCGAAAACTGTTCAATTTATTGTTGAAGGTACGGTTTTATTCATACGATAGGAAATTAATCTATTGAATACGATTAGGTCAAGTGGTTCCTAGTATTAATCTTACGTCTACTTATATTGCAATTGGTTGGTCGGACGCAGAAACTACAATGGTTTGTGTGTAGTTTTTTTTTCTTTCTTAGAGATTTTATGTCAATCATAACGTATGAATAGAATAATATGGATGTTGCAATTTTTTTTCCTGAAGTTCAATTGACTCAAGATAGGTATGAAGGAGAAACTAGAAATCATGTTTTTTTTTAATGTAAAAGCCAATCGTTTTTTTGTAAGATATATTCGAGAAAGCGTGATACCAATACTTGATAGTCAACAAGATTTTTGTGTTATTCAAACGAATACAACTGGTCAACATGTTTATGTTACATTCGAACGTATGATTACAACAGGAGATGATGATGATGATATTAATTTTACGTCAGATCTGTATTTAATGTTCTCCATGGGCTCCTATGCAATAGTTAATGATACAAATATTTTTCAATTACAACAACATTTCTTTCGTAGACTACTTACAATACGAGTCAACTTAATGAATTGTATTTCAAGTAAGAAAATTTCCTTATAAACATAGATAAAAATATTTTTAAATTTAGTTGGTTGTCTAACGGCAAATTGTTCAACAAAATCATGTTTATGTTTACAAGATGTCATATCAAATGTTGGACAATGTACGTGTTTTCCATCGTCATCATCATGTATTTCAAATTCAAAACTTCCTATTTCAACAACAGCGATTCCATCAATATCTGCAATTACACAGGGTGTGTTTTCTTTTGAAGAGTTTTATTTCTTCTATTTATATATTTAGGCTCTTGTGAAAGTCAAATAAGTTCATGTTCATCGAACGGAATTTGTCTTCAAATATCATCAAGTCATTTTCTCTGTCAATGTAACCCGGATTATACGGGCGTACTTTGTCAAACAGCTATATTTTCACCTGATATAAATATTTTAAATGCTTGTAAATGTGTTAATGGCGGCGTCTGTTTCGTCAATGGAACTTGTTCATGTTCAGATCGTTATCGAGGAAAACTTTGTCAATTAGGTTGGTTGATAAAAAGAATAAAACGCACTTAATTGAACTATGGAAAAATCTTTTTCTTTGCTAATAGACAATCCATGCAATGATTATTGTCAGAATAATGGTCTTTGCACAGTTGTTTGTACGGATACATCATGTGATACACCGAAATGTACATGTTTAAATGGTTACAGTGATAATCAATGTTCTACCGTCATTACTGATGCTTGTCAATCAAATCCTTGTGGTGCAAATGGAAATTGCACTAAGGGAATAATAGATGGCCAATATGAATGTCAATGTGATATCGGTTATATTGGTACTCGATGTGATACAAGTACGAAAAAAGAGAAAACAGAATGAGTAAATTATTTTGATCGTTTATATTTTTATAGTTGATAGTTGTTCATCAAATCCATGTAATCAAGGCAGCTGTGTAACATCATCGAATTGTCTTGATAATGTCTGTAGTTATTCATGTCTTTGTTCAAACGATACAACAGGTGAGTATTTGAATTGGATTCTTTTTGTTTCAATATAAATTACGAACTAAATGAATGTAATAGGTAAAAATTGTGAAATCGATATCGATCCATGTTTGAGTAGTCCATGCGTGAATGGCGGGCGTTGTTTAACATCATTAAACAGTTATGAATGTCAATGTGTACCGCCGTATGGTGGCACTAATTGTGATTTAATTGTGAATGTATGCATTCCAAATCCTTGCTTCAATAACGGCCATTGCATTCGAAATTTGACTATACAAGATGGTGAATACAGATGTGAATGTCAAACTGATTATATGGGCACACGATGTGAATATTGTAAGTGATACCATTCGAACAAGTCGACTTGACGAATAATAATCTTGAGTGTTTAGTCAATGGTTGTAGTTCATCTCCGTGCCAAAATGATGGTCAATGTATTTCATCTATCGTAAATTGTACGTCGACAACATGTCCAATCAGTTGTATTTGTTCAAATGGTACCACTGGCGTTTATTGTGAACAACTAGATATGTCTTGCTTAAATGGCGGAACTTGTTTGACAAATGAAACAACGGATATTTCATATTGCCAATGTCCAGCAAATGCAACCGGTAGTCGGTAAGTTGAAAATCTTAATGAGATTGTTCATTTTTGAAAAATTTTCAAAGTTGTGAAACAATTCAAATAGTATGTACAAATACAACTTGTTCAAATAATGGAGTTTGCTCTATTGATACATCCTCGGATGAGAATAGAGCCTATTGCGTGTGTGACGAAGGTTATACGGGAGAAAATTGTCAAACGTCAATATTACCTCCTACTCATTGTTCGCGAAAGCCTTGCGGTAATGATGGCACTTGTATTCAAACATCTGTATCTTCGTACTATTGTATTTGTTCGAATGGTCTAACAGGACAATCATGCAATTCGAGTATGTTTATAGATTTTGTTTTACAAGGAATATTAGTATGAGGTTTGCTTTTCTAAATATTTTAGCTGCATTGATTTCATGTGCCAGTTCACCATGTCGTCATTTATCAACATGTCAAGAAATCGACAATACGAATCCACCAAGTTACAAATGTATTTGCCCGAATTATTTAACAGGCGACCGATGTCAATATACAAATACTTGTCAAAAACGACCTTGTTTAAATCAAGGTAATTGCATTCCATTGGGCCCACAAAATAATTTTATGTGTCTTTGTTCGCCTGGCTTTGGACATTATGATTGTTCGATATGTAAGACTATGAGTTTGTCAATAAAAAAATGAATTTTTTTCAATTGTTTTGAAATAGATTTGGGTTTATCTTGTAATACAAGTTTATGTGTAAATGATGGTATATGTGATCACAATGGTACGAATATTCAATGTATATGTCCAATCAATTTTGCTGGTCCACGTTGTGAATGGAGTAAAGGAAATCGAATGTTTATGATATTTTTTTTAATTTTAATTTTACTCAGATTCTGTCTGTTCTGTGAATACATGTCAAAATGGTGGCACATGTCGACAAATAGCTCCAACAATGGCTGAATGTTTATGTCAAACAGGTTTTACCGGTCCAACGTGTAATTTAAGTAAGTGCGATTATCAAAGCATCATTTTTTCCCTACAATTCAATGAATTATTTAGGAGATTCTTGTGCAATATCACCTTGCAAAAATGGTGGCGGTTGTACAACATTGCTTGTTGATACAGGTACGGACTGGTCAGCATATCGTTGTGTTTGTCCACCGGGTATCTATGGACAAAATTGTGATACGGGTAACTATCGTAATTTCTATTCACATTATTTGTCTCTTCTAAAAAATTTATTCCAGCAATTAGCTCTTGTTCTAATATGATTTGTCCACCATACAAAATCTGTAGTGAACAAGCAACAGGGCCTGTATGTACATGTCCAGCAAATAAAGTTGGCACATTTTGTCAATATAGTAAATTGAAAAAGTAATTTTCTAATGATTTATCTCTTGGCTTTCATTTAGATAACCCATGTAATCAATCATCATCGATCTGTCATAATGGTGGTACATGTGTATCATCAAATACTGACCCACCTATAAGTTCATGTCATTGTCGAGAAGACTATACAGGTACCTATTGTGAAATAGTAAAAGAAATCGATCCATGTGCGAGTAATCCTTGTCAAACACGTGGCCATTGTGCATTATCAACGTTAAATAAAACGTTTACATGTTTATGTCGAGAAAGTTTTATTGGTGAAAGATGTGAACGCAATAATCCATGTGCATCATCACCCTGCTTAAACCAAGCCCTATGTCAATCGTATTGGAATCAAACACATACATGGTTCAATTGCCGCTGTGTTGGAACTTATACAGGAAATCGATGTGAAACATCGTTGCTTAATCCATGTGGAGGATTATGTATGAATGGGTAAAATGTCTGTTTTTTTTCGGAAATTTATTATTTCTTTTGAATGTTTCCATAGAAGTCCATGTGATAATGGAAAATGTGTTTGTCCAGCTCAATATACAGGCACATTTTGTGGATTTGGTAAATAAGTTTGTTTTTTGATTTGAAACCATTTGGTAATTTTGAATTTTAGACAATCCATGTTATCAAGGAATATGTCGAAATGGTGGTACTTGTTCAGTGATTGCAAATGCAACAAATGTTTCATTTACATGCACTTGTTCGAATTCATATACGGGTCAATATTGTGAAACATCACTTGATGCCCTAGCGAATCGTGGCTGTTTATCAGAATGTATGAATGGAGGTTCATGTATAAATAGTAGGTGTATGTGTACATCGGAATATGTTGGACCGTTATGTCAAAATGGTAAATTATAGAGAAAGTTAGAACTTACGAAAAATAAACGAATGTTGTTTTCTGATAGAAAATCCGTGTAATCATCGAAATCCATGTTTGAATAATGGTACTTGTTTTAGTCGGTATAATACAAGTGGAGCGCCATCTGCACAATGTTCATGTCTTCAGGAATTTACAGGCAATAGTTGTGAAGGTAAAAATAAAGGATACAGATGCTTATTCATTTTTTCTTCGTTTTCTAGTAATGCTTTGTTCGCCAGCCTTGTGTAATGGTGGCATCTGCACACCTACTCAAAATAGTATTGCTTGTATATGTCCAAAAGGAACATATGGTGATCGATGTCAAGTAATATGTTTTTTTTCTTTTTAAATTTTAGTTTTTTTTTAATTATAATGAATTTTTAGTATGTAGATATCTGTGCAACGAATCCATGTGCACCCAATGAACGATGTGAACAAATAGAAAATCAATATCAATGTAAGTCAAGTCTTGAACAATTGCACAAAAAATTTTCATTATAAAATATTCGAGGAATGATTGTAATGTAACAATAATTAAATGTTTATTTATTGAAAAGGTTCGTCCTGTTACGACAAGAGTTCTTACTGTTTGAGGTATCAACAACATAATGAATTTTGTGATAATCGTTATACGATACCTATCGACAATGATCTTCTTCCCGTACCTCAAGCATGTCAACGTTCGTGTGGTAAATGCATACCTGTACAACGTTTAAAAGATATTTCTTCGTTGCTTCATAATTCAACATCCATGGAAGAAGTTCATAGAATGTCGACTGTACCAATCAAAAAAAAATGAATAAACAAGACAAATGTATCGATAGACGAAGATGATTGTCTAGTTGAAAAATCTCTACGAATTTTGTCGAATTCTTAACGAAAAAAAAAATATACAGAAAATTGTGCTATGATTTCTTAATACATTTTTATTCTGAATATTTTTGTTTTTCGATACACAATAAAATATTGGTTTTCTTATAGAACATCAAAATTCGAACTCGAATAATCGTGTTTTTTACGATGACTACAAAAAAACCTCGATAGTAAAACATAGCAGCGTGGCGCAGTGGAAGCGTGCTGGGCTCATAACTCAGAGGTCGGTAGATCGAAACTACTCGCTGCTACCAATGTTTTTTTTTCCTATCACTCTCTCGTTTGTTTGACAACTTATCGGAAGAGAACAGAAAAGAAAAATGTGCGTAGACAACAAAATTGGTTTGTTTCTTGCACTTTGAGTCACTCGTATTTAAATAAAATGAAAGTTTAAGTCATTCTTTATTTTGAAGTAGAGACTGTAAACGCACTCAGCTACCATGTTATTTACTTTACTGAGATGACACAATAAATTCACTTTGACGACGATGAGTTTGAAATTGTTTATGACGCATCATCATTTCTACAGAAGAAAAAACATATTTAAATGTGCATTTTTTAATAGAAGCTTACCAAGTTTCTATTTGATTGTTTCTTCAATTTTTCTTGTAGACACGGAATCTTCATCATCAATAAATATGACTCTTTTTCTCGGCGAACCAGTGACAAATCAAAATCAAATATTTAACAAAGTGATACATGCTTCACCCACGCAAATTAATCATTTTCCACTTCGATATGGTTCTGCAGCAGACATACCCTACGGAGAAAGTTTCGACTTGAAATCTATTATTGACTCTAAACCAAATGTACCATCAAATAATATCATGGCTCTATTAAAACAGAGTTCTTCTTGCACTACCAATATCAATGAACTACTAGACGATGCTACTCGTGATCGTGAAAATCGCCTTAAAATAGCAAAAAAAACTCAAGCTGATTTTATAGAAGCAATGAATCTTGATTGAACAAGTGCATTTATTTTTAACAACAAAAACATTTTTTATTGCCCTATATTTCTTTTATTATTTTTTTTTTTGTAAATAATTTAATAATAAACAGAGTATCCTATCAGGATAACAATAGTTGATATTTCAATAAATTTTGCTAATAATCGACTAGCTGTTTTTGACGTAAATCGATCGCCATAGAATAATACAATAAACCATAGAAATAGATTCAATAGGAAAATTGGTATAGAATATTCAATAATTTTAGCTATTAAATAGTAAATCTTATCGAATAAAAATTTATCAATATCAATAGCGATATCATTGATTAATTCCTTTCGACGATCAACAGCCGTTTCAAAAACAAAATGTCGATTGTAATAAATAATTAAAATCGATAATAGAACAATAAAAGCAGATAAAATCAAATGAACAATATGCGATTGTTCAGTTTTAGTTGACGAAGAATTTTTCATCGGTTGACAATCATGTTCAAATTCTGCACGATGACGAATTGTATGACATTGAGCACATTCAACAAGTAATTCATCGAGCATATTGCGAATAAGTCGACTGGATTTTGGTAATTGTCTATTGTAATCAATAGGTAATATGTTGTCGAAATAAGAACGGCATATTGGACAGTTAGCGTCAACTAACTGTTCTAAACATGAACGACAGAATGCACTATCACATAATGTATGTGTATATGGATCTTCAAGAATATTCAAACAAATAGGACAAGTTAATGACGGTGATATTAAATGTTCATTGACATATGTGTATTCCGTTTTACTCATAACAATAAAAGGATGTACAGTTATTTACCTAAATGTGTGATAAAAGTACATTCAACTTGATTTATAAATCTGTAAAAGAGAGAGAGAGAGAGGAAAAAAGTTTATAAATTGAAGAAAAGAAAAAAAAATAGCAGCTATATGTAGTTTTCTTTTCATTCCTACATCGATGGCAGACAAGATTACTTTTGTTTTCTTTTCTTTAACCTTACGTTTCATTTCCTTTAAGTTGAGAACACATGGGTGACTATACTGGTGACTCATATATTAAAAATTAACACCTCCGCCTGACTACTAAAGCCCAACGAAAAAAAAAATATTGACAAAAATTACATGCACATACAAAATACACTCACACATAGAAACATACAGATACGTGTCAATTTTTAGCAATAATCAATTGATTAAATTAATAAAACATATGATTCATCATCATGCTTTGCATTGTTTTCTTGAATGGATTTAACCATACCAGTTGTTCGATTAGCTGACGGACAGGTGAGACATACTGTTCAGAATAATAATAATCATATGGAGAAGAAAAGGACGGTACAACTAATTTAGACGAAGGAATCGCTAGTGATTGGTGGTGGTGGTGGTGGTGGTGTTGTTGTTCAATATCATCAAGTGAATGGGTTGAATATCCATCGTCATTATCCGTTGTCAGTTCGCCAAAACAAGACGAAGACGATGAAGTAATCATTGTTTGACTTAAATCAATATGCTCGACATTTTCATTCTCATCAATTATATCATAATAATATAGGGTGGATATTTCATAACAAATATTTGGCTCATTATCATCGTTATCGGATATCGTTTCGGTTAGATCTAACATTATCATAGGACAAAAAAGGAAAAAATGAATTATTACAATAATTGATAGGTGCAAACCTTGTGGTAGTTGAGATGAAACTGAAAGATTATCCGTAGAGTTTGATATTAAGTCACATTCTTGAGAATGTTTTGATAGAACATTAATTTGGCAGGGTAATTTATCAGTGTTGCTGGTATTTTTTACGAAAATATTAAGTAAACCATTACGAATATCATATTCAAGATTAATTTTAAGTGCATCAGCTAGATTAACAGTTTGCCAGACGATATGAGAGGTTTGTAGTATAGCAGTCATCGATGAAAACCTAGTGAAGAAGATATTATTTTATGATTATGATTTATATTTTAGCTTACGTCGAAAGACTTGGCATGTGACGAGAATGAAATAGAACGAGAAACGTGCGAATTTGATCTATACTCGACACGATATGCCTAGATAGAATAGAATGTGATGTGTTTTTTTCCTCTGTATTCTTTTATCGTTCAAATATAAAAGAGAGCTTTTCTTCTTCTTCTTCTTCTTCTTCTTCTCTTCCACCACTCCCTTCAGCTGATGCTCGATGTGAAGAGGAAAAAAATTAGCGTATGAGTGAACGCTCTCTCATTTCTCTGTCAGCAGAACAAGCAATCGAATTTTCCTTGTATACGGGCGAGTCACTTTTTTTTTGCAAGAGCCCACATCTCAACCATGGTTAGCTAGTAACGAAAGGATAAGGAGAAAAAACATAGGCACCGTTGGCGACTCTTTTTTCTTCTTCTTTTTGCTCAACGCTCGCCTGACTTTGACGCACACATAATTAGCACATGCTATGCTTTATTAGTCGATCGAGAAAGAAGGAAAAAAATTTTATTCTATCTTTTTCTCTCTTTCTTTTTGAAGAAGGGCACGCTTGGAGTACGGTGTGAGCCAAAACAAACTCATTGAATGTTAAGAAGGTCACAACATTGCATTAGTACTAATGCCCAAAGGATTCTTTTTATTTCTTCTCCAAATATTTGATAAATTCTTTTTAATACAACGAATAAAAAACTAATAAGAGTGCAGCAATACTTAGTACGTTGAACTAAAAATGAACAGCATTTTTCTCATTCATATTGGTGATGAATATCATTAGACCGTGTCATACATGTATTTCTTCTTTATACTCGTTTATGAACGTGATTACATAGGCTTTTATCCCATATTTTTTTTTCGTAATTCTCTTTTAAATAACAATTTAGTTTGAAAAAATTGAAACATGATTATGTCAATTTTTACTATTTTTCAATGCATTTAGCAAAATAAACCCTGATAACTTATTATTATTTTTCGAAAGTTTATAAGATTTAATGAATAGGAACTTTGCATGATTCGTTTCTGAACCGGTTGCAAATTCTCAATAATGAAGACATACGTTTTGAAATATATTTTCTTTTTCAATGTTGAGAAAGATATGACGAAGGAAAATTGTATGCAAAGTCTGAATTGTTGTTTTTTTGATTTTACCTTGATATTTTTAGTAGTATGCAAGTGTTAGTGTCGACGTCGTTTGTGCTCATGCACTATGATTTCTCTTGTGATTCCCCAAGTTGTTTAAGTCACCAAGAACGAAAAATACATCAGGAAATAGTGAGTGCTGTATTGCATATACTTGAATATTATTAAAACAAAAGTTTGTTGTCGTACTGATTTAATGGCAATTTGAGATAGAGACTTCGAACTTCCGTTATACATCATCACATAATAGGCGCATCATTAAAAAGATAATATTCGTATAACGAAAGAATAATCAGTTTTCGGCATCAGCTCTTCTGAAAGAATGTCCTTGTCGTTGACAGCTGCGAAATAGGTCAAACGACATTCAGCTATTGAAAAATAGATCTTGCCGATAGGAGGATTCGCTATGATGACTCTGATGTTATTAGTATGAAACGTAAAATTTTGACTCGTACAAAAAAAATTCAGCAAGCGTTCTAACTAAACGACTGGTGTTTTGAAATAATTGCTGCATGGGAAATTTGGCTTGATTTTTATCGAGTAAATGACCTTGGAGAGAAATATAAAATAATCAACAGATTTTATAATACAACAAAACACCATATTCGTATACTGTATTGGAACAGTAACAGTTGAACCGAATATGAATGAAATTCTCTGAAATCATAATTTATTTTTACAAATTATCTTAATTATTTTATCGAATAACTGAATTATAAAGTATAATCGTTTTTTTAATATTTATTGCATAACAAAATTATCAATTATAATAAGAAATTGTACAAATCAACAAAATAAACAATCCATATTATACTTTTTCGTATACAGTTTCTATGTGTTGTCCATCAAATTTAAGTACGAATTTATCGTCACCATGATATTTAGGTGTTTGAACATACCATTTGCCTTCAAATTGATTATTTTCTGGACACCATTTAAGTTGAATCGTGACCTGGTGACCTAAATTCTCTGATAGATTACCAGTACCTCTTTGATATGTTTTCGTAAGACCAATACGTTGTGTTTGACTCGCATAAACGCCATCAAGAGTAAATGTACCGATGTCATCTGAGCCTGATCCTTTTATACTCATTGAATGACCGTTAAATACAAGGGAACATCGATGAGGCCCATGCCAACGTCCATATTGAAGATATTGACTTTTCCAATGTCCAGATTTAAAAATACTACTGTCATAATTTTCTAGTTCATAATTTTTTTGAGAATTTTTTTGAACAAATACTACATTTGAACGTGATGGTTGGCCTGTGCAAGACTTTTTACAATAAATAATACCAACGACTAGCAAAACGAAACCAGTGATTCCACCCACGATGCTCAGCCATAGAACTGTACGAGAAGGACATGCAGAGCCTCTGCACGAGCTACTTGAGCTCCAATAGTGATGACTTCCTCCGGAAAAACCACCTAAAATAAGAAATAGAATTTAATGCGCTTTTTAATAATATCAAAATATTTACCACCGCCAGAACCACCGCCTCCACCACCTTGACATTCAACTGTTATTCCTAGACAGATGATCACAAGAAGTCCAAAACAAATTCTATGCATTTTTTTAAAAATATTCAACGATTTGAATTACAATGATATTCAGTAGATATATAAGTAAACGGGTTACATGGCTTTTATAGATAAATAATTGATATCTTCACCTGATTCATTATTGACACCTTCATATTCTTATCATGCGTATAAAAACAAAAGAATGCGTAGTTTTGCTTTTGAAGATGACGTAGAAAGCTAAACTCAAGTGCTTTTTGGACGTATATCGCTATCAAGAAAGATGCACAAAAAAGTGACATGTATAAAAGATGAATATCAGACAAATAAAAGTAGAACTTTTATTAATCTACTCTTTTTTCGTGGAGTTTTACCACACTTACCTGATCTATCTATTTATAATCAATATATAGAAAATACATGAATAGTATTTCAATGATACAAACTCATGTAACACATATTATCCTGCTGTGATATAATACTGTTCAGCACTCAGCATGAAGAATTCGTTATTCTCGTGGATTTAAAAAATTTGACACAATTAGCTATTGAAAACAAATTGCCAAATTCTTCTATTTTACTGTAAGTCTTTTTTTTTTGTTGCAGTAAGATTTCACTAACATAAGATCTTTGATCATTCATTTTATCAGTTGCTATTTTATCGAAATTATAAGAAATAAAGCAATTGATGAAGTTCACACTTTTTCATATGCATGTAGTCTTTGTTCTTTATTGCTTTTAAGCATAAACTTATTTTGGCCACGATATATACTTGTTTTAACGTACCATTTGCCTTCGAATTGGCTATTTTTTGAATTCCACTTTAATTGAATAATGACGTCATGGCCTAAATTTTCTGATAAGTTTCCAGTACCTTGTGCATACGTTTTTGTGAGACCAATACGCTGCGTTTGTATTGAATAAATACCATCAATAGTAAATGAACCAATATCATCCGATCCTGAGCCTGTTACTTTTAACGATTGATGATCAAAGAAGAGTGACAAGTGATAAGGCCCATGCCAACTTTTATACTGAAAATATTGACTCGTCCAGATACCTGATTGAAAATGATTGATATTAGACGCATTGTATCTGAGAGATTTTAAATTTGGAAATTTGACGAAGTTCGAATTTTTTTGGAATGGCCAACCTTTACAGCATTGGCAGCAGGAATGTATCCGAGTAATTATTAAGATCAATACAGGAATTAATACGCACAATCCAAAAATACCGCCAAAAATACTACCCACTATAATAGCAGCAGTTCGGCAGTCATCACCCTCACATGATTTTCTAGTTCATAATTTTTTTGAGAATTTTTTTGAACAAATACTACATTTGAACGTGATGGTTGGCCTGTGCAAGACTTTTTACAATAAATAATACCAACGACTAGCAAAACGAAACCAGTGATTCCACCCACGATGCTCAGCCATAGAACTGTACGAGAAGGACATGCAGAGCCTCTGCACGAGCTACTTGAGCTCCAATAGTGATGACTTCCTCCGGAAAAACCACCTAAAATAAGAAATAGAATTTAATGCGCTTTTTAATAATATCAAAATATTTACCACCGCCAGAACCACCGCCTCCACCACCTTGACATTCAACTGTTATTCCTAGACAGATGATCACAAGAAGTCCAAAACAAATTCTATGCATTTTTTTAAAAATATTCAACGATTTGAATTACAATGATATTCAGTAGATATATAAGTAAACGGGTTACATGGCTTTTATAGATAAATAATTGATATCTTCA